GACAGTTATAGGTGCACATCATTAGCGCACCACCTCATGTTATTACGTCAGAGGGCGAGTTTTTGCGTAGTACTGTGAACTTTTGACTGTCACACACGCTCACGGCTGAAGCAGCAGTGACAATTGCTGATAGAGGGTGGTTTGTGAGCTAACATTACGCAGGAGTCTCCTGGGGGCCGTTTCAACCTCTTGACTTTCGCAAAAAGTGGGCCCAGATCAAGCACCAACTTTCTTTATTTGCCCCTCCTATTGTCCCCGCTACCTCATCTTCGTGTTCATATTTTTTTGGTTTTCCGCATCCTGCTGTTCCCCTTAATCCACCACCGTCATCAATACATCCACTTCCCTACGTAAAGTGGTATTCTTTAAAATTTGCTGAATATCAAATAGTAACAACATTAGCCTGTAGGAGAGGGGTCGGGAACGTATGGCTCGCGAGCCAGGTGCGGCTCTTTTGATGATTGCATCTGGCTCTTTCAAGAGACATTGGAATTAGTCCTATAACAACATTAATTAAAAGAAGAAATCCAGGGGCATATTATATTCACATTTATTTGAATTCAATCTCACTGAAATATACTTCCAAATATTTGCTTTCTTGGAGATCAATTTCCTTCCTATTTTCTCTTTGGCGGCAGATCATAGTAAAGGCTGTTGGAAGTAGATAAGACGTTGCGTCAGGTACTTTTTTGCTTTGTGAGAGCTAGTTACGCCTCTTTTCCGTGGTACTTGTGAGCGTTCACAGCGCCTCCTCGACATCTAAATCTTCATGTTAATAACTCTTGATGGTCTGTTCAAGTAATGCTTTTCTTAAGTGTCTCTTGTTTAAGTTCAGTATCTAACTGATACCCGTGCATACTTGTTAAAGCTTCGCCTTGTCTTACTCAGGTTGCAATGTGCAACCAAACAAGCATATACCCTTGGAGGATACCTTAAATCCTGCGCGTTTATTCTACATTCAAACACGTATACATGGCCGGCATTCTCATTTCATGAATCGATCTTAGTCTGCAACGCTTGGCAATGAACCCCCTAAACTTCAGAGAGATGGGAGACGTCTGATGCTATATTTAAGATATAGGGGTTGTAAAGTCCGTGTGCCGGACTAGTTGGCTTCTTCGATCGTTAATTCGTGCTTCCTCAAGTTTATTTCTGAATGAGCTCATCTACAGCGCGAGCCAAAGCGAACCTTTCGAAGCAAAAAACGCATACAAGTTACTTCATTTATGCATTTTTCGATTTTTGATTTTTAGGTTATTCGAACTTTCTTCTACTGTTGCTTTTTTTTCGCTCTGTGTCTGACCAAAGACCCAGCAGCTGATTACATAATAGGTCACACTTTTTCGATGAGCTGACTGAGGTCACCCAAGGCGAGATAAGCTTTGTTCAGAGGAATATGTAGACCCTAGCGGGCAGGACTGTCGTCGCTTACCGCCCCTCCAAGCCCTATTAACTATTTCCTATTGTCTTTTTCGTAGGTCTGTGACCTAACAACCGTAGTGTGCCAAGGCTGACGTAATACAAACACCCAGACACACACACACGACAGTTGACCATCGATTTCACTGATGTCCACCGTCTGCTCCACAACAGGGTGGGGCAAGAAGGGTGACTTGTGTGCAAATGAGTCTTAAGTGATAGTAGACTAGTGAAGCCTCTATCACCTTCTCTCTTCATCACTCACCCATGCTCGGTGCCAAAACAGAGTCAAACACACTGGGGGCGGGAACGCGCGGCCGAAGCCACCTGACTGGGATCCCATCTGTGTGGAAGTGTCATAAAGGCCACAGCAAGAAGGAGCCATTGTAGCCCGCTTCGCAGTTCGCCAGTCAACCGTTCCACACAACGCACACAGGGCTGACCGCGCAGTCCGAATACCCCATAAATTGACAACCTTCGAAGCCACGGCTTTTAGTGCACCATGATGGTTTCAAGCGCGTCAGATTGTTTTTAGTGAAGAGAATGCCCACAGCCGTCGACCTCACTCTCTCTCCCCACCGCTTCCATCCTATCTCATACCGGAATGCAGAGGCGACTTTCATCGGCACTAGGGCTGATGCCTTATCTTCCGTGACATTCAACGCCCCCCCATATCCCTAATAGCAAAACTAGCTCGAAACGAGCTAAATATATTACTAACTCATTTCCTACAATAGGCATGGAATATTGACTTATTTGCTTGGTTAATTTTTTAACAAGTCCCTTGTGGACATACTCACCGCTGCCTATTGCCGTCACCTATGTCCGAGTGCTTTTCCTCCCCAAAAGCATACGTCCATCACCTGGTAGATAGGGGGCCATACGTTTTAAAATTTGAGTGGATATCCACTGCCTCAGCGCTAAAGCTTTGCCTAATCTGCCGGGCACAGCCGGTCTTGCCTTTGTAAGGGGGGCACACACACAAACACCACATTGCTCCACAACAGAATGGTGTAGAAACGGTGACTTACACGTAGATTAGTTTTAAATGATAGTAGACATGCGAGGCATCTACTGCACTCTCTCTCTCTCCTCACCCATTTGAGTCCGGCGTCAAGACACAGTCAAGAAGACCGGATGCGGGATCGGGCGCAAATTGTTGGCGTCGCCTATGCGTGCCACCATGCCCTCCCCCATGTTCGATATTATTTATAGAAACGCAATCCGGATAACGCCTGCCGTACTCTGATCTGAGTGTCGTGTTGGTTCAGCTCATCTATCACGTGGCTCGTTTGGGGGAGAAACACACGCACACACACCGAATCCATTTTCAGGGCCCCTCCCCCACGTAGCAGGCTTTGGGTAAATACGAAGGGCATGCTTTATAGTTCGCTTCACGTGAATTGAAACTGCAGTGTTTCCCTCTCGTTTCGAAAAAAAACAGCTTTCCGTGAAATTCCTGGCTGTCCTTGTTTTTCCTGTCTCACTGAATTGATGCTCCGATCAGGGTGTAGCGGCCAATGATGCCGGCTGTTGCAATACTGAACATGTTGGCTCCGTGTTTCTACAGGCGGTCAACTAACGAGGGTGCGGTCATGACGACTGAAATGGGTATTTGTGGTCTGTTTGCCGTGCGCAAGTCATTTCAGGCTGACGAGACGTGAAATTATAATCTTGTCAAGTCATGTGTAGGCGAACAGCGGCATCACTGACCCACTAGTGCATGCTAGTGTCTGCACGACTCGGACCAGAGCATGGGCTGTAATGCAGGGTCGGGCCGGATAATCTCCGGTCTGCAGCAGGGTCTGAGGTTTATACACTGCAGTCAGGGTGTATACTTACAGTCTTGGTTGACACAGCCT